GTCAGCGGTTTCTTGAGACGGCCTTGACGGGAGAGGGCCTATGTGGCATGGTTACGTCCTGGTGGGCGAGGGGGAGCTAGGAAGGTTCTAGAAGAACACTGAGGGCTGGTAGGGTGGCTCAGCCGTGTCCTGGGCTCCCCAGGATCTTTCCAACCTTCCAGACTTAGGTCACTGCTGATTGCCACCTGCAGCCTAGAACACTCCCTGCATTACAAGGTCCACGTGCACGGTTCACAGACGGCCTCGCTTTCTCTGTTTTGCGACAGTGTGGTTCAGCCCTGAAGCATCAGAATTAACCAAGAAAAGCTGGGAGCAGGGTGGAGGGAGGGAGAAAACTGTTCCAGGGAGGGAACAGCGTGTGCAAAGGTGACGACGAGGCAGAAGGAGCTGGGCGGGAGGCTGAAGCCGGGCGCCGCGGGGAACCATGAGCAGAGGAGCCAGGGAGGGTGCAGCCATTTTCTGGTGCTCAGATCACAAACGCCAGCACCCATGTCTGTTTTAGGGTTCCGCGGGGAGAAGTGTGGGCGCGGCAAGCTGCAGCTGATCGCTGCTCTGGGTGCCACAGCACTGAAGCCCAGTTGCTGGCAGAAGCCAGTGCCATGCAGCTGCGAGCCCGAGCTTCCTGTTTTCCTGGTGGTGGGAGCGCGGCTTCTGGCCCCTTCCTCCATTGCCACGGCTGGCGGCCTCGGGCCAGCCCTTCTCACGCGCCTGGTCTCACGCCCACCTCCTCTTCCCTCTTGCTGGAAAATTCTCCATTTTTAAGGCTTCATTTGATGAGATAGGGTATAGTCATTCATTTCCTTTTATTTAGGAAAGACTGATTTATTTGAAAGGCAGAGTTACGAAAGGAGAGAGAGCAGTGGGGAGAGGGAGAGATCTTCCATCCACTGTTTACTCTCCCAAACAGGGCTGAGCCAGACTGAAGCCAGGAGCCAGGAGCTTCTTCCAGGTCTCCCACATGGGTACAGGCCCCAAGCACTTGGGCCATCTTCCCCTGCTTTTCCAGGCCACAGCAGAGAGCTGGATTGGAAGTGGAGCAGCTGGGACTCCAACGGGTGCCCATACGGGATGCCGGCACTGCAGGCGGCGGCTTTACCCACTACACCACAGAATTGGCCCCTATCCGTTCATTTTAAATTCCATGACCATGGGGTGAGCGTGTGGCACAACACTGAAGTCACTTGGGACACCTGCATCTCACATCAGAGGACCTGAGTTTGGGTCCCAGCTCTGCTTCCAATTCTGATTCCAGCTTCCTGCTAATTTGTACCCTGGGAGGCAGCAGGAGATGGCACCTGCCACCTGTAGGGGAGCTCTATATAGAGTTCCTGGTCCTAACTTACCTGGTCCAGCCCTGACTGTTGAAGGCATTTGGGGAGTGAATCAGCAAATGGAAGATCTCTCTCTCTCTTTCAAGTGCATGAAAAAAAAATCTAAATATTAAAAATATAGGTTTGGTGTCATGTTGCAGAAACCCAGAGTGACAGTGTCTTATACAAAATAAAATGTTAAAATGTTCTATCATGTAATACGGCCGTTATTGTGTTGGCCGTTCAGGGCTGGTGTGGCAACACCACAAGTGCCTTCATCCTGGTACCTCGACTCTCCCTAGGATGTCGACCACGTCCATGATGCTTCACCATCAGGTCTGGCTTCTCACCAGCAGGAGGGAGAAAGAGGGGCCACAGCCATTCACAGGGTCACGCTCAGCTGCAAGGCGTTCTGGGAAATGTAGTCTTTCTTGTGGGTGGCCGCCAGCCTGGTTAGACAGCGTGGTGCTGCTCCTTTAATGGGGGCACTAATAGACTTGGAAGGCGGTAGAGACGCGGGGATCGCCAGGTATGAGATGGCGTGGGTGAGGTTGCTCTGAAAGAGTGGGTGGAGAGAGAGCAAAGCCTGTCGGGCCCGAGCTGGAAGAAGGCAGCCGGGAAGCACAGGTCAGACAGGAGGAAGCTGGGTGTGTGTGGGCTCGGAGGAGAAGAGGAAAGAGAAAGTTTCAAGGAGGCAATCAAGGGTGAGACCTTGGCCTGGTGTTGAAGATGCTCACGTGCCCTCTCAGGTGCCCGGGTTCGATTCCCGGCTCCTGCTGCTGCAGATCGTGGGAGGCAGCAGCTATGGCTCACATAACTGGGCTCCTGCCGCTCACCTGGGCGCGGGCTTTGGCCCCAGGGGGTGGCCGTTCTGGGCATTCTGGGAGTGACCCAGTAGATGGGAGATTTCCTCTCCTGCCTCCTAAGTAAATAGATAACTTTCTTTCTTTTCTTTCTTTTCTTTCTTTCTTTCTTTCTTTCTTTCTTTCTTTCTTTCTTTCTTTCTTTTTTTTTTTTTTTTTTTGGTAAGTTTCAAGAAAGGGATCAAAATGGCTAATACTGCCTACAGGGGGCTCAAATATATCCCTAGATTAAACCACGCAGGCCCCGACCTTGGTGGCTTCCACAGAGACCTGCGGCTGATTGCAGAGCTATGGGCAAGGCGAAAACCGAGACATGGACAGGTGTTTCCGGAAGTTGGCCTGTGAGGGGGTTAGAGGTCACGCCCTGTAAGGGAGATGGCGAATTAGCATCTAGAGGTGCCGGGTAAAAATCAAGCCGCCATCCTGTAAAATGCACAGCTGGCCTGCAAGACACTTGGGGGAATCCCCAGACAGCAGGAAGAAGCAGAAGCCGAAAACCAGAGCTCTGAGCTGCTGGGCGGTGATGGGTCTTGGCAGTGAACGGACTTGGAGACTGGAGACGAAGCCCTAGTCCGGGAGCGAATGCCCAAGATCCTCAATGGGGGCCCGCTTAGGGAAAGAATGACCTAGGAAAAAAAACCTGGCCCCAGCCCAGGGAGCACAAAAAAATCTGTCTGTGTTGGAGCCCTGGTGACTGTCAAAGACCTCCCCGGAGAATTCGTACTCAGTCGTGCCCTCTCTTGGATCTGGGGTTCAGACTTATACCCTCCGCAGGCTCCTGGAAGCCCAGATGGAATTCACAAGTCCTGTGTGCTGCAGGGCTGGTAAATCGCCCTGGGCGGAAGCAAACAGAAAACCTCTCGAGAAAGACACAGCCCCAGCCGTGGTCACGTGGATTCCTGCAGTAAAGGCCCCATGAAGCTGAGTGGGCAGCCCCAAACAACGAAGCACGAGAGCAAAGAATCTGTCGTGAACCAGAGGGAGCCGACACAACACGTAGCAGGCTTAGCTGCCGACCCAGGATCCCAGAGCATAGACTTAGTGGGGGAAAGGGCCATGCGGTAAGCTTGGTTTAAATGCCTCAAACATAAAAGAAGGAATTGACATGAGAAAGGCATAAGATGGTGTCAAAAAAAGAGAGGGAGAGAGGCTTGCATGTGGCACAATGGGTTAAGTCACCGCCTGCAATGGCCAGCATCCCATATGGTTGTTGGTTCAACACCTGGCCGCTCCACTTCTGATCCAGCTCCCTGCTAATGTGTCTGGGAAAGCAGCAGAAGATGGCCCAAGTACTTAGGCCCCTGCACCTATGTGGGAGGCCCAGATGGAGTTCCGGGCTCCTGGCTTTGGCCTGGTTCAGCCCCAGCTACTGTGGCCATTTGGGGAGTGAACCAGCAAATGGAAGGCCTCTGCTTCTTTGTCTCTGTCTCTATCTCTCTGTTTCTCCCTTTCTCTATAACTCTGCCTTTCAAATAAATAAATAAAAAATGAGAGGGAGAGGCTTACAATGAAGAGAAAGGAGAAAGAGTAAAATGAATATGTCTATTAACCCATCCACTCACTCATTCCCTCTTCCTTTGGCCCCTATTATGTTTTAGACCATGTTCTGGGATGGGAAATAAAGATGATTCAGGAGATAGCAACTGGACTTTGCGTGAGGAAGACAACATGCGTTCGTCCACTTATCCATCTATTGACCCACACATGCACTTGCCTACTCATCCATCCATCCATCATTCCATCATCTACCCATCTACCCACCCATTCATCCATCCAACCATCTACCCACCCACCCATCTACCCATCAATCATCTACCCATCCATCCATCCATCCATCCATCCATTTTTTATTTTACAGTATCTTCAAATGTGACAGGTAAAAGAACATCTTGACGATCCAGTTCTCTAGTTGTACAAAGACCATGAGGCCAGAAATACAAGTCACCTCTCTGAAGCCTCTACATGAACAGGTGCTAGAGCCAGAGACCTTGCCTTTTGGTGCCCCCCACCCCCACCCCTCAGCCTCTCCTGAACACTTTGCATGGAGACATCTGAGCTCTGAGCGCCTGCATCTGTTTCTGTTTCCGTGGTGGCCGTCCCCACAGCCCTCTCCTGTCAGCTGACGGGGACAATGAGAAGTGAGAGTCACCTAGCTCATGAGTGACAGAGTTAGGACAGGAGCCTTGAGCTCTGCCTTGTATCTGGTTTGTGTCTGTGTCTTAGCTCACCTCTAGTGCCTTCTCCCAGTCCCTGCACTTGGACATCCTGAGCTCCTTGAGGGCAGGGGCTGAGACTGATTCCTCCTTCATCCAGCACCCTGCTCGGGACAGGGTGGATGGGCCCTGGGAGGAGAGGCTGTGTTAGGTTTGTGGTCCCTTCTGCCTGGGGGCTTCTCATTCCCCGGCTGCTCCTTCAGCTTCCAGCATCCAGGGGATTGTCAGGGAAGCCCAGGGGTTGGAAGGGAGGCTCCAAGTGCACCCTGGCTCTCCAGAGCAGGAGGGGCAGAAGTGGTTCCCCAGGGGTGGGGGAACTTGGGAGGTTGCTGGCCAGCAGGGAACACAGGATAACTGCCCCATGCCGGAATCTGTCTGTCTGTCTGAGCGCCTCCGGGGAGGCACTCACCTTGGCCCTGGAGTGTCCAACACTTTCCTGATTGGCCGATCCACCCGTCCCTTCTCCCTTCCACAAACAAGAGTGGGGTTTGGGGGTCAATGCCTCCAGCAACGAACAAGGTCTACTCGTCGTTGTTGACGTCATCTTCGTTTTCATGTTTTACTTTCTACTTATGGCAAGTGATATGATACTGGTTTTCCATTTACAGAAATGATACCAAAAAAGATTCTTTTATTTCAAGTCAAGGTACTAAGCCAATAGTCAGCCAATTTAAAGAAAACCATAAAGAAAGTACACATTAATAGTACAATGGTACACTGATATGGCAAAAGTTCTAAAATACACGACTCGAGTTTGGGGAATCTGACTGTGGGGGACTCGGGGGTCAGCTGATACAGGTGGCAGGTAGGGCCATTGTCCTGGGCACATCTGTCACTCTGCAGCGCTCCAGCGGGCTGGCAGGGAAGGTGGCCCGAGGACACCCTTGGGGAGCTGCGTGCCCTGGGACAAGGCTCCTTTCCACGCTGGGTCGGACTCAGCTGTCCTTGCCCCAGATCTCCCTCACCATGGAGTGGTAAGATGCAGGGTTGAGATGGTGTCACCTGAAGACCTGGGCAGGGGAGCCCGCTGGTCTCCTAGGACCCTGGGTCCCCAACTGCAGGCCAAGGAGGCCTCTCCATCTTGGCTGAGCAAGTCCCTCGCTGTCCTTTGGAGGTCAAGGCCATGGCTTGGTGGTGAGCCGCTCCTTGGCCTGGTCTCGTCCTTCCTCCGTGCATTTTCTCAGACGACCTCACTGGGGATGCGGAGGGGGTGATGAGTGGCCGAGGGTGGATAAGAACGTGCCCGTGGGAAGTGGGGTCCCACTGCCTCCTGAGGACCCCAGTCCTGCAGCATCCGCGGAACTGCTTTGCTCTGCTGCTGGCTTCCCGGGCACACACTGGCCAAAGGCCCAGTCACTGAGTGGGTGCTCTTTCCTGCACGTCTGTACCTGGATTCTCTCTCTCTCTCTTATGATTTATTTGACAGGCAGAGTTACAGAGAGGCAGAGGCAGGGAGAGAGTAAGTCTTCCAACCACTGGTTCACTTCCCAAACGGCCACAACGGCCAGAGCCTAGGCCAATCCAAAGCCAGGAGCTTCTTCCAGGTCTCCCAGGTGGGTGCGGGGGCCCAAGGACTTGGGCCATCTTCCACTGCTTTCCCAGGCCACAGCAGAGAGCCGGATCAGAAGTGGAGCAGCCAAGACTCGAATCGGCACCCAAAGAGGATGCCAGCACTGCAGGCGGCAGCTTTACCCACAACATAGCACTGGCCCCACCTGGAATTCCTAATCCGGATGTCATGTGGCCCAGAGCCAGCCCCATCTCCAGCCCTTGGACCTACAGCCAGAGCAGCTGAGGCTGCCACCACCCAGACCCAGGGCAACTGGGACCTCAGCTTAAAAGTCCCTGAAGCAGGGTTAGGATTGCCCCCCCCCAAGCTGGAGCCTTGGCTCTTGGGGTACCTCTGAGGCAGGGTCCCGGGGAGGCCAGTCCCTGGGGTTCAGAGCCCCACACTGGTCCGGCCCTCTCGCCTCCAGAAAGCTGAGATCTGTTCCAGGGTGACCCGAGGCTGGAGGCCCCAGTCCGGTTCTGGGCTCCCGGGACGCGGCCTCCAGGGCGGGGGGCTGCCACACTGCCTTCCGGCCCCCGGCCTCGGTTCAGGCTCCGCCCAGCTCACCAGGCCTGCGGGGCAGGGTCTCTCCTCCCACGGATGGGGCCCCCAGAAAGTGCTGCCGCCTGGACCCGCAGATGAAGCCGTGGGTACCAAGGAGCTGGGAGCAGAGTTCGGGGCCGCAGGCGCAGGCGCAGGCGCAGGCGCAGGTGCAGGCGGCGCGGTGGCTCGCGCCTCCAGGGTGCCCCGCGGGGTGGGCGGGTCGGGCGCGCGCTCGGCCAGCAGCGGAACCGCGGAGCCGTACCAGTCCTCGGAGCGCTCTCGCGCCGAGCTCGGGGGTTCGATCCACAGCTCTCCTCCCGGGCGCCACACCAGGGTGGGCGCGCGGTGGCCGGGGTCTGGGCGGAGCGAGCGGCGGAACAGGCGTTCGGCCAGCACGGCTGTGGTCACCAGGAAGAAGGCGGTCAGGGAGGCCAAGGCCAGCATGATCGGAATGCAGGGCCGCAGGGCAGCGAGAGCCACAGGGCCGCCTCGGTCGCCGCGGGCCCCTCCGAGTGCCCGGAAGGCTGCTGTGGAGTCGGAGGCATCTGGGAGACACGGGTAGGGGTGGGGGTGGGGTGAGTGAGGCAGCGCTGACTTGGCCCAACCCAGGGAGGGAGGCAGCAGCCAGCACCCCAGAAAAGGCAGGAGAGAGACAAGTGGGCAGGTGCAGCCAGGCCTACATGGAGGCGCTCCAGCCCCCCCCAATCCAGGCCCCAAAGTGCCTCGACCAAAAGTCAAGGTCTCAAGGGCTTCTCCCCACCTGGCCTGGGACCCCTTGGGGCCTGCTGGGGCCTGGAGAGGAAGTGGGGGACAGGAAATGAGAAGGCTCCCTCCCAACCCTCCCCGGGGCGACGCCCCCCTTCTGGCCCCTAGCGGGGTGCGCCTCGCCCCCCCCCACTCTCCTGGGAGGTGGTCCTGCCTCTGTAGGCCCCAGCAAACTGTCTGCCTTGTCTGGTGCCCGTGGCCAGCCATGCACCCGTGCCAGCCCGGCCAGTGCCAGCCCCGCCAGCTCTGCCCAGGCTCTGCCCCCCGCCCAGCTCCCTCAGTCCCCCAAACCCCCCATCTGCAAAGGGCTCCTCACCTCACCCTGTCTCAGAGCCGGGTGCCTCGTCCTCCTTCAGAGGCGCTCTGCCCTGTGCATGCTGGGAGGCCCAGCCAGGGCGGAAGGGAGGGCACCACCTGTTGCCAAGCAACGGCACCCCACTCCCCCGGCCCCCGTGGAGCGTCTCCAAGGCGACCTTGGGGGGATGTGGTCACTGTGGTGAGGAGGCGTTTCCTGGAGAAGGTGGGGCCGGAATGGGGCAGTGGCTCTGTTGAACTTGGCCTTGCCCTTTTAACCAGCCCCAGGCCCCAGAACATTCTGCCAAGGCCAAGAGAGGACAGAGACTCTGGCTGGGCTGTCCGCTGTCCGGTCCCAGAGCACCATGGTGCCTCCTCTGTCTGCTCCAAGCCCCACCCCACCCTCTGGGCCCCTTACAGAGGCACCTGCCATGGGGCCCCCACCCCCACTCCTGCTTGGCCCAGCACCCAGGACATCTTCACGTTTGGAACCAACCTAAGTCTCCTTGTCTCAAGAACTTTTTAGCCCCACACTGCGTTGTACTTCAAAGAGTTCCTGGGGAAATGAAGTTAAAAGAGAAGTTGGTCTTGGGTGTCTGGCATTGGGACACCCACATCCCGTGTGGAGTGGCTGGGTTCCAGTGCCAGCTCTGCTGCTCACTCCAGCTTCCCGCTAACGCACACCTGGGAGACTGCAGGTGATCGATCAAGTACGTGGATCCTTGCTGCACAGGTGCGGAGACCCGGACTGACTTCCTACCTGTTGTGAGCATTTGGGGAGTGAACAAAAGGATGGAAGATATCTCGCCTTCTCTCTGTTTCTCTACCTTTGAAATAAAGTCGAAAAAATGTGAAAAATATAAGTTCCTGTTGGTGCAAAAGTTTGAAATGCATGCCTCGGTTTTTTTTAAGCCATGCACAGTCTCCATGAACTTTGCAAAGATCCTCTGTGATTTTCAAACTGTTTTACACCAAAATTAACTTATCACTGCATTCTATTTTCCATGAACTTTTTGCAGTACCCTCGCATTGCGAGGGGAACCTTGGGTAGCAAAGATGCCAGACCTTTGGCAAGAGTCCAAGGTATAAAAACAGGCTTGGGCCTGTCTCCAGGACCCCACCATCTGCTGCCACTGTTCTTTCTGCTGGTGCCATGTGTTGGAGGAGGCTGGGAACGGAGTGTGACGGCACGCCCTCAGTGCCTGGAGTCCAGGAATCTTCTAGAAATTGTCTGCTTTGACTCATTCAGCAGCAGGTGACAAAAGAGAAACCTAAAAAAAAAAAAAAAAGGAAGGTGATGTTCCCAGAGCCACACCACCCACGTGTGTGTGTGTGTGTGTGCGTATGTACGTGTGCATGCGCGCATGTGTGTGTGTGCGCACGTGAGTGTGCATGTGTGTGTGTGCGTGTATGTGTCACAGGGGGCAGGGGCTGCGGGGGAGCAGAGCTATAAAAACCTGGTCTGGTAATAGACATTCATAGCTTCTTTTGCAAAATGACAGCCATTTAACGCGCCTACAAAAATATGTTGACAAGTTAGTGTCTTAGAAAAAAAAAAAAAAGATGGCCACTGGGCAGGCTGGCTGGGAGAGGTCTGTCCCGCTAGATTCGAGGAAGGCTCCAGGAGCAGACTGCAGTGTGAGGTCGGGGGAGGAGGTGGCGGAGGAGGCCCAGGACACAGGCAGAGCCCCGAGGGGTTTAGGATCCAATGCGATTACAGCCTTCAAATAGAGCCAGCGCTTGCACTCAGAAGTGGTTGAGTTGGCAAATCTTTTGTCATATGTGTTTAACTACAAGAGGAACTTGTTTGGTTTGTTTTTAAAGATTTATTTATTTATTTAAAAGGGAGAGTTAGAGACAGAGAAGGAGAGACACAGAGAGACAGAGACAGAGAGACAGAGAGAGAGAGGTCTTCCATCCGCTGGTTCACTCCCCAGATGGCCACAACAGCTGGAGCTGCGCTGATCCAAAGCCAGGAGCCAGGAGTTTCTTCCGGGTCTCCCACATAGGTGCAGGGGCCCAAGGACTTGGGCCATCTTCCACTGCTTTCCCAGGCCACAGCAGAGAGCTGGATCGGAAGAGGAGCAGCCAGGACACGAACTGGCACCCATGTGCGATGCCGGTGCCGGAAGCTGCAGCTTTACCCACTACGCCACTGTGATGGCCCCCAATAAACAAATCCTTTTTTTTTTTCTTAAGAGTTGCTCTTTATCCCAACCGTCCTCACCTGCCCTTGCTAGATCTACTTGAGGGCCTGAATGGGGAGGGTCAGGACGGTCAGCAGCACCAAGAGTGTGGAGTTGGCTACGAAATTCCACAGCCCCCACCCTCCCCTGTGCCCTCCCCAGGGAGATCCACAGACCTACTCTGTCCCATGCAGTGGCCACCTTACCCCCACATGGCTGTGCACATTCCAGTTAATCCAAATACATCTCCGGGTTATGTCTCAAGTGTTCCATGGACACAGGCAGCTAGTGGCCATGTTACCGGAGAAATTGCAGGGTTCTTGTCTTCGCACAAGAAAGAATTCAGGCGTGAGACAGAGAGTAGTGGGAGGTAAAAGTAGCAAAGTTTATTAGGAAAGGGACATCCATAAGAACGGATGGGCACCTCTCCAGACAGGACCTGAGAGAGAGTGCCCAGTCGCTCGGACTCGGGGCGGGGGTGGGGGGGGGAGAAGGAGCAAGGTTACATAGTTGAGTGCAGAGATTACACCTGGCCAGACCAGGCAGGCCACTCAGCAGAGAGGCAGAGAGCGTGCAGTTTTTAAGGAGATGGGTCTTGCTTCCCCACCTCTGTTCCCCTTGGAACAAAGGGCTTTTTGGATGTAAATAGAAAAACTTCTGAGTTTTCTCTTGAAGGTCTGAAACAAAGGACTTTATGGATGCAAATGTTATCAGCCAGGAGGAAGGGTGGGCAGGACCCCCTAGAGAATGGGGATCCAGAGCAGGGTGTTTGAAATGCAGATACTGGGCTGCACCTGAGAGATATCAGGTGGAAGGGGGCAGGCAGGGCAGGATGTGAATACCGGGCTGCCCCTGAAACACCATCAGGATGACTTTGAGATGCAGCATATGCTGGTCATAGATGGCTTCTCTTTAGGCCTTTATGTCGCACACACATAAGCTCATAACTGACTTCCCCCCTCAAGAGGCAATACCCAAAATTCTTCTTTGGGATTATGGATGGAGATCCGTTTTCTGTAACTTCTTCAAAGCTGGCATGTGGGCGTCGAGGGGGGTTTGGGTATTTCCTCTTACTATCTGTCTTATGGTGTGCAACAGTGGCCTTGGAAAGACTGTCCTACTCGGTCCAGAGGGCTGTTCAGGTCATCCAGTGGAATGGGCTGGAAGCCTTGTCTGACGACCATTTGGAGTTCGACAGCTTTTATTCTGTTAGAGACAAAACAAACAAGGGCATTAAAAACACATGGTCCAAAGAGAAGCAGCAAGATTACAGAGGTTATTGGGCCAAGGAGAGGGAATAGCCAGGATTTCCATGACCAGATGTCAGGCCAGAAGTTCCAGCCCTGCTTGGCCTGGTCCTGGAGCTGTTTGGCTTTGTCCAGGAAAAGTACGAATTTGGATTTGTACCTGTCTAGTCTGATTGACCGAGAGACAACATTCTTCCTAGAACATGGCACAGACACCCCCCAGAACAGCACTTAGCATGTCCAATTTCTTTCTTTCATAACCTTTTGTGACTTCCACACACCCTCTTCAACTTACTTGAAACATGCCATCATTTCCATTCCAGTCTAGAGTAAACTAGCCATCAGGATTCTTACAACCATGTCCTTTCCTTATTTAAAAAGCTCTTTCCTTTTTAACCCTTCTTGCCAAGAACACTCTTTCCTTCTAAACCTTACTTACCAAGCACACATTTTTATCCTTGTGATGTTTTCCATAGAGCCTGGTTGGCTCTTTCTACCTTACCACAAGTCTGAGGTCTCCATGCAGAGTGAAGGTGCCTTACAAATCCCCTGTGTGATCTAGAGCTCTGGTTAAGGCAATCAGTTTGCTAACTGAGCAAAAGTTCCTGGGGGCAGAGCACGCTTCAGTAACGTGCCATGCTGTAACTGTTGCATACCCAGAGAAGCAGGTCCCATCTGACAAAGCTGCTTCCATCTTGAACCAAACTTCATGTGTGTTAGTCAGGGGGCTGTCTTTTAGGTCCCTTCTGCTGGCATAGATCAAGTCTATAGTCTCAGCAGAGGAGTGGAGGGGACCACTTTCCCCCTGGGTTAGAGTAGAGCAATACCTTATTTTTACCTGAGGGTTTTTTAGAAGGAGGACCTGATATTTTAGTATTCTGCGATCTGTGAGCCAGTGAGAGCCCTTTTGCTCTAATAGAGAATTTATTTGGTGTGGGGTATAAAGGGCAATGTCTTGTCCCACTGTAATTCTAGATACCTCCTCTGTCAGCAAGGCAGTTGCTGCCATTGTCTTTAGGCAGTGAGGCTATCCTTGTGCAACCATGTCTAAGG